TACACAAGGGACCGTGAAGGCAGCCAGGGTTTTGTTTGTGGCACCCTGGAGCAAGAGGGCTTGGCCTACAGATCTCACTTCAGTGACAGGACTCAAACACACGGCGAGAGCAGAGAGGCCGAAGATGAGCCAAGAGACTTCACAGTTTCTAAACAACGCTCTCAGAGGGTTTCCTCTTTCTCTAAGCCTCCCTTCTGTAGTCTCTCATATTCCATCATGCACCAGGGTTTGGATTCTCACCCTAAAGCATGCAGAGTTCCTCCTATGACAATCTCCCCCCCCAAGCAGAACCCAGCAGAGGCATCACAGTCATTTCCCAGCCCCAAAGCTTCAGGTGAATCCTCCCTCACCAGCCCCAATCGACCCAGTAAAAGAAGTCTAGCAGAGCCCGAGAGCGAAGATGTCCCTGAAAGGAAAGTTCGTGTGGTTACACCAATCCACCCTGCTGGCACAATCCGACGTAGCGATCCAGAAGAGCTGAAACCAGCTGAGCCGGCCCATGCTGTTCACCTCAACAACCATCTTCCTGAGGGACACCCTACAACCACTTTTCCCCCACCTCATGCCGCACCCCTCTATGCTGGCATATACCCGCCTGGCAGCCTGGTTTCACCAGGGGCCCAGGACGGGCTCCAACAGCATCCGGGTCTCCAGTACCTAAAAAGCCAGTCAGCAGTATCTCCTCTTGTTCCCCCTTTATTCCACTCCATGATGCTCCACAGGCAGCTTCTGGCCTCTAGTCCTAGCCCACACCACTTCTACAGGCACCCTGGTGGGGCAGCACTGTATGGGGACCTGTTGCACCATCTATACCCTCTCTCAACCCTCCCACCACCTCAGCTGTCCTCGGTACACCCCAGCACCAGACTGTGAGAAAGAGGAGACATTTATTTCCCACTCTCTTTCTTCATCCTCAGAAACTGTCTCAGCTTTTCTTTGTCTTTGTTTCTCTATCTCGGGGATTGTGGCTCAGTCAAAACAAAACACTGATTATGTAACTTTGGCTGATAACTGACTGATAAATGCATCAGTCAGGTGGACTGAAAATTCCATTTTCTTTATTTTTTTTTAAATTGTTTATGCCTTTGTTTATATACTTTGCACTGTTCTTTATTTGTATCACCACTTACTGTATATTTTTTGTTGTTGTCGTCGTATTCTTATTTGCACAATGCTCATGTGTATGTGCTCACAAATCAGTTTGCCGCTCTCAGTAACCATGAGTCAGGTTGTTGCTCTGGATGTGTGAAATGTTGAGGGCAACAGAGAAAAGCCATTTGTTTACTACATCTGAGGGCTAAACTTTGTTGCTTAAGAACACTACAAGTAACATGACAACGTAAATCAAATTCTTTATATAACTAGAGGTGCGTTCACAATTGCAAACCATGTTCAGCAGCTGTTTAGCGCATAATTACTCTTTAGGCAGCCAGTGGTGTTGTATCTGTTTACATGTCTCCACGCTGAGCTCTGTTGCCTGTTTGTGCCACAGTAAATCCACATGGACTCTTTAGAATAGACATTAACACTCACTGTGGTGCTGCATAACACGAATAGTTTAATCATAACAAAACATTTAGAGGTGCTGTGTATGACAGATGTACTGTAGACTCACTTGTTCCTCAGTTCAGGTTTTTTCTTTTATTAATAATCATGTATTTCAGTTCAAATACAAAATAAGCAGTTTTCATGTTCAGTCTGTTGACAAATTACTTTTTTTTGTTAAGCATTGATTAAAAAGTCATTAAATTTTTTTTACTTTCTAAACTAAAAGTGATATGACCCCCTAAACCTTTTGTGATGAGTAGACTGTAGCGGCTTGTTTTTGTCTGCAGGACCAGCATAATGAAGCAGCTGTCTGCTGTGGAATGCTCACCACAAAAAAAAATCAGCATTTCATCTTTTTGTTCTTGACTTGAAAAGCTTTTTTGTTGGTGAACATATTCTTTTCTTCAGTACGCTGAAAAGACTCCCTGTATGATTTGATAGGAATGTTGTCACTTAGGATATTACTGCTTTGCAAATATCTGTGCCTTTCGCAGTGTTGGATTAGAGTTAGCACTACAGTTGTTAAGGTTTATCTTCTGTAGCAGGGTAGGAATGTCAATATTACTGTCACTCTTGTCTGAAACGAAGCGCACAGACACCCATGCAAAAACAGTATGGCACACTTGGCTATCAGACACCAGACTTAATGTGTGAGGCACAGAATGGGATGTTTTTAAAATGTAAACAGTTATGCTGTAAACCTAATGGTTAGTATCTGTGCTTAAATTATAAAGTGCCCCTATTGTGCTCATTTACAGGTTCATAACATATTTGGGGACCTATTTGAGTAAGTTTACACACTTTATTGATGAAAACCTTTTTTCTATACTCTTCCCAACCTCTGAAATGGTCCCCCTACTTATATAAACAGTGATATTGTTAGACAAAGTCGCTGTTATAATTCTAGCAGTTCTAAGCAATGGTTTAATAGCTTGAAAGTTACAGCTATTTTAAATTAGTCTCAGTGGGTTTGTGCTCTTTCTGTTGTCTGACAGCAGAAATAGAAAAATATGTAAATGTGAGCAGCTTTATCGGGAATTTTGCTGTAAAAATACAGTATGTGTAATTGCAGAGTGCAGACAGAAGCAAAGGATGATAATGTTAGCCACACTACCCGTGCTCTGTACCAACAGTAAACACAAGAATTTCCCAATTATTCTATGATATAGCTGTCAAAAATAAAAGTAATTTGGGTTCTGGTTTAGCTCACAAGCGGCCATATTCCACAGTGGCCCTGGGTTCAACTCCGAAGGCAAAAAAGTCCATCCCCCCAAAATACTTAAAAAAACTAACGAATAAAAGATGAATCTACTGGTATTCAGTTCTTTAGGTGTAACTGAGATATGCAGCATTTTAAAGAAGTTGCAGCTGGTTGACTCTGGATTTAATTCATGCCACTGCTCATTATTCTTTGTCTGAGTGTGCACCAAACTAGCTGCTAAGAAGGCAATATGTCACAGTGTTACATTATTATGTAGGCAAGTAAGTAAAGCCTGGACTAGCAAGGCAGTTCAGCAGCAGTGTTTTCTGTGTGAGAGAATAATTTTAAATATACAAAAGAAAAGCTATATAACAGATAAATAAATAAGGTGAAACACATAGGGGCACTTTAAGAAGTTTAAATTTTAAACACTTACGCTTTAACTTAAGTAAATCTGTTGACCTAGCTTAACTCTGTCAGCCAGTCGATTATACAAGAACCTGCGAGATTTACTGATCCTGACACAGGTCTGGTGTCTGTCACCCGCAGGGCGTGTGTGCTCTATGTGTTTTCAAGCAGTGATGAAAAGGTACCAGACTCCATAAAATATGCCTACCATGCTCCATAGCCTGAGGTGGAAAGACAACACCTGCGCCGGCTTTTACAACCACTATATAATTGCAATCCAGGATAGTCGAAATACACAGTGAACATGTCTGGTGTTTCAAAAGAAGAAAAAAAAATCTGTAAAACGTCTGTAAAGTTTTACCGAATACTTAGATAAAGACATTCATTTCTGATTAAGTACTGTACATTGCTGTGTGTAGGTAAAACTGGCATTAGTGCTGGCTCCTGTACAGAACATTCATACGGGATCAATTCATGGCAACCCCTCCTTCTCGTCTTATTTTGTGTAAATAGCACTGTAGATAGGACTGCGTGGTTGTTATCATATAAACTGTTATAATCTGTATATAGTATAAAAACAGTATAAAAGTTGGTTACACAATCTAGCCGTGTCCTTGTTTGCTCTGTTTCAAGGTCACCGTGATCACATTAAATTCAAACACTACAATTTAAGAATTAGGATATTGTTTATTTGTTGTCGTTTCACTTTTTTTTTCCATGTCGTTTCCATTAATGTGCATCCTGAAAGTGTTTTTGATACAGCAGCCATCTGTTTACCAATCACCCAGCTGGCAGGCAAGACAAAAAAAATACACATTTTGTATTATATGACCTCCTGTATATTTAATTAAAGTATTTTACTATCTATATGTTTCTTCAGTGGTGTTCTTTAACTGAACTGCAGATAAATAGCAAGGGTTGGATAAACTGGTATTTAATGTCAGTGTGCTAACATCAAAGCAATGCTTTTTTTTCCCTCCCTCAGTAAATGCAGTGTGAATGGGGTTTTATTATTGTAATACCATTATCTGGCTATGAGATTCCATCCGCCTTAATCTTCACAACAGGCTACCTCTGGGCTCAATGCCAGAGAAGCCTCTTCAGTATTTGCTGCAGTAGAGAAATGTGCCAGTGCATGTATCTCTATGGGATGTGTACTAGGTGGCAATAAAAGCTATGCTTTGACTTTTATTGCCACCCCCTGGTAAACCTTTAACATGAAAAATATTCAGTAATACTTCCAAGCTCAGCAAAAATAAAGCAGCCTCACCAGGGTGGAATGTAGGCCGTTTTATTGCAGATCAGCAATCATAAAAAACACGGTGAGCTTCCAAGACAACAGAGTGAGAAGAAAATTGCACCTTTTGAGAAACATTAACTACCATATGTTTTTAACATTGCACTATACGCAAATTACACTGCAGTGGGACATGATTAATGAATAGCTATGTTGCAATACATAAAATTAAGTGCCAGTAAAAGTCTAAATAATGAACATGCTAAACAACAACCATTGAGATCAGAGGACAATACTAATGTAAAAAACTACAAAATATTTTGATCAAAAACAGTAAAACAAACAAACAAAAAAAACAAACAACAACTACAAATTCAAGATGCTGTTTTTATTTATATAAACTGATTATAAATTCATAAAATGAAAGGAAATTTGGCTCCGTTATAAGATGATATCTTTTCATGCAATTAGTTTCATCAGGGCTACACAGTCAGTTGTCCAAAATAACACAGCTTTCAGAGTACCTGCTAGTGGTACTTCTATGCATTTCTCAAGCATACCTAGTATACCTGAAAATGGCCAAGATGTTGGGGGAGGGGGGGGGGGGGGGGGGGGGGGGATGTAGGATGTGCAATGTAATTATTTTGATAATCATGGGGTCTGAGACGTAACCACTGTTCTCATCAGCGAAAAGTGATGGTGTGCTGTTCTAGCCTCAAACCCTCTCTTATGTTTCCAAGTGTATACAGTACAAGATCAAAGTGACTAATGCATCAGTAATACACATCAAACAAAAAGCATTTGACACACTGCTAAAAATCAAGCTGCAGCGCTTTCTGTACTCTTCTCTCCCTTTTTCCCTTTCAAGGCTTAAACTAAACCCGTCTGTAATCCACCTCCTCCTAAATCTACATCTTCCCCTCTAAATTAAACAGTATGGAGGGTGAGATTTAAGAAAACAGGGACTGCAGCTTTCACTATAATGCTTCATCTAGATTGTGAAGGGAGCAAAGTCTAATGTTTTGCACACTGTGTGTAATTATGACGACCATTCTTCAACACAATATCACTAAGTGGCTGAGATATTTAGTGGCTGGCAGTACTGGATATGTTCAAAACACACACACAAGGGCATTCATTATTTCAGCTACTCAAAAGACTCATTCATTCAATAATCTTCATAGCATATATTGGCTGTAGTGTTAAATTATGTTGGACATACTGTGTAGCCACTGAAAACCAAGGTCACACTATTATTAAGACCATTAGTGCCTGCAATTGCTCTTAAAATTATGTTCCTTAAATTCAGCTATAGTGGTCATAAAGTCATCACAGTAAGTAGAATAAGTCAATAGTTCCAAAAGGAATGACTCGTCCTCAGTCGGCCAATGGATCAATTCCAATTTGGGCGCCTTTTCAAAAGCTCTTTCTTCAATCCATGTTCCAGTGGCAGAGCAAAGAAATAAGCCTTTCCATTTTAGTGCGATTGATGATGGTGGTAGTGGTGTATAAGCCAGCATTCAGCTTTTAATTTCATCTGTGGGTTAGCTGCACATGGAAGGTTTAGAAAGGGAAAGAGGAGCAGGAAATTTATACACATAGTCCTGATATTGCAAACTAAGGTGTAAACTCAAACGTGGCGTCATCACCTACCCACCCTTTATGGCAAACAACCGTTACACATTTTTGGAACTATGCTTATGTGTTTCATTGTTGAGTAAGATTTGTGCAGTCAGTATGAAGCTGGAGCTCGGGCTGAAGACTGTCCAAAGGTAAAAACTACCTACACTCACATCTAAAGCTAAAATATTAACTAACACTCGTTTTGCGCTGGCGTGACTTCTCTGAGCTGTGTCATGCCCATTCCAGTGAGTCACTGCTTCTGACATTACTCTCCTTTTAACCTTATTGTTTTATTTAAAATATTTGAGAGAAATGTGCAGGTAAACACATTTATTACCTATCGAGAAAATTCGTCTTTGCATTTTCAGCTTTATAACCTTCTTAATCTAAACTAAATGTCCTGGCTCAAGCTCCTTCCTGTATATATGAGAGTAGTATTGAATTTTTCCCACCAAACTGTCAGCAAATCACATTTCCCAAATGATGAAGTATTCTATTAAGGACCACACCAACAGTCAAGCCCAAATATCATCACCGATCATGACGAATTATCATCACTCCTCAGTTAGTTCTATAGTGCTATATTTGATTTTAGCAGTGTTACCCAGCTCAGTTGATAAAGTGTGACAGGTATCTGTATTAGTAGTAAGGTTACCTCACTCTAGATCTGATCTAAGGTTGGGGTTACAACGCTTTAAGGTTCATCCTCTCTCTGAAAGACTTCCTCAGTTTGCTCCGTGGTGCGGGAACAGGACCAGGACCATCAGTGGCTCTCACAAAGCCATGATCAGCTGTGGCCTCAGGGGTTTGGGTGTGGTGGTTTTGGTAGTCCAGCTGTTGGAGGGGGGGCTGGTGCTGACCTTGTGGGTGTACATTGAGCACGCCCAGAGGAGCATTTTTTCGACTTGAGGCGGTGGCTCCTCCAGCATTATTCCGCTGGAGCTGCTGGATGATGGCAGAAAACTTGGCATCCAAAGATGGTCTGCCTGTTTTGGACCTTGTGATTGGACGTGAAGTGCTAGTGCTAGAATTCTCTTTCTCCTGGTATGAGGGAGGAGGGTGCTGATGAAGAGAGGCAGGGAGAGGAGGTCTGGCTGGGCAGGTGGGAGCAACATAAGGCTCTCTGTCAGGGGGAGGAGGTGGAGCGCGTCGCTTCTTGCTGCTGTTGGTAGTACAGCTGCTGTTGCTGGGATTGGGGCTCGAACAAGGGGTGGAGGTTTTGCTCTGGGACAGAATACCCTTCTGCACTACCACTGAATGGGAACCATCAAACAGACTGGACCAGTTAGGTGCCTCTTTCTCCTCTTCATGGCCAATAAGGAAGTGCCCATCTGTCTCCTCAATTTTATTGTGGATAATATCAGTGATGCTCTCAAACTTGCCTGGTGAATTTATACCTATAAGGGAAATAAATAAACACCAAAATCAAGTGTTTTCCCTGATGTACTATTAAAATATAATAAAGCATCACAAAGGCTCAGATTGCAGCATTATATTTTGCTTGAAAAAGCATCTTATTAACATGCATCACCACTGAAAATTACACCTTCTTAAAATGAATATGTGTAAATATAAATCCTGTTAAATCCACATCATCAAACAGTCGGCAAAATATTAACCTCCGTCTAACTCGCTTCAGTGACTCTTTCCAATTAATCTACTCACTCAGGTCGTTGTAAACAGAGTCTGCTTGCTTAGAGAGAAAAAGTGATGGTTTCCGTGGAGACGCGACTTCGATCTTCATTAGCTGGTCACAGCAGTGCATCCACTGGCCTGGTCATAAACAAGGATAGGCATGAGATGATAAGACCTATACCATCTGTTCTTAAAATTTAGCTAAGTGTATGTGCAACCACTTTTCCTGCGCAGACTAGCCCACACACCCCAGTTTCTCTTTTATAATGGCAAACACACACGAAACCCTTTACATAAACACGTGTTTTCATATACAAATGCTTGTGGTGCATGGTCACATAACACTCACTCTGATCATAATGGTGCTGGTGGAGGGCTTCCACCCAGTCCTCCAGCGCTTCCCTGGTGTCTGTGGTGAAGACGATGGACTGTGATCCCTCTGGTGAAGGGTTAATGATGGACAGACTCCTAGATTTGTGGCCTGCTGATTCCTTCTCCAACACTCGGATCCGGGTGTCCTGCACAAAAAAAGCAAAAGTAACCTATTACAAGCTGAAAATCACTAACGGAATACAAATCACACCTCTGTGCGAGTTAGTGCATTAAAAATTACATCACTGATATTGCAGAAGAAAATTAATTCCACAGCAAAATGCCAAAGTTCCAAGCCGTATCGCAGTGAGTAATTTGGTATCTTGTATTTTGGTTACTCTGCAAATGTTAGGGAAAAGGTGAACTGAGATTTAAATCAATAACAATGAATCTGATGTTTAACTTCTCTTTCCAGACAGCACAATTGAAACAGATAATGAAGTTTAACAGGGGTAACCACAAAGCCTCATCTTATGCAGAGTTTTAGAAAAGTTTGTTCTTCCAGTCTTGTGTTATAAAATGATGCAACAGAACAAGAAATTGCTAACATTAATGTTTATCAAGTAATTCAACATTTTTCTTAGTGTCTCTTACCTTATTAATGGGTACTTTGAGAATGGGTTGTATTTTAGCATCAATTTCTTCTGGAGTGAAGAAACAAGACAAAAAGCCGGCACTCAGCACGCAGTAAAGACTGCAGCAGCGGCTCATGCCTTCCACACTTTGCTGTAAATCAGCAAAATACAAATAAATACTAAGACACTAGAGAATCAATGATGGAGCTTATTGCTATCATTACAAAATAACAGTGAACACACCTTCTGGCTCAGGTAACCGGCCATCATGGTCTGTGTCATACAGGCAGGCTGAGCCACTAACCGGCAGCAGAGGTTACCATAAAGTGGAAGCCAAGAGGACCACTCAGCTGTAAGGACAATGAAAAGCAACCAGAAAACTGTAATAAGTTACCTTGTACTATATGGAAAAAATAAAGTTAATTTAAAAATAATTCAGTTCTAAAAAGGACATATATGTTATTACAACTCATACATTCTCCTGTAACAAAAGCCCCAGTGTTTCCCCTCAGCCTCCTAGCAGATGCAACTACGGTATTATTTTGAAACTCCTCGGTGACAACATTCTCGATTTATTGTGCTCATAAGCGCTTCAGAAAACTTAGCCTCTGACCTCAACCTTGAGGTCAAACTCTTACATCGCCTCGTTCTCATATTATTGCACTCACAAACTTGGGCGTCCATGCCCTATCAGCCTTTTATAAATGAAGGGTAAAAACCCCATAATGTAAACTGTGCAAACTTGTACCAAAAGCTTGAGGTAAAATTCCTAAAATATATACAGAGAATCCCAGTGATTAGATGATCCCCTATGAGCAAGCACATGTCACATAGTGAGGAGGAAGAACTTCTTTTTAACAGGAAGACAACCAGGATCAAGGTGGGGCAGCAATGCAGGAGGGGCAGAAACCTGCCCAAGCCCTAACTTTCCATTTCATCACTCTTCATTTTGTTTAAATGGAGGTTTAGATTTAAGTGATGTTAAAAAATATCTATCATTACTATTCCAAAATGAAATCAGGAGTTAAAAAGCATAAGCATTTCATATCCCCAGATATAAAATGGTGTGTTTTGCTTCTTACCATCTTGGAGGACAATAAGGGAGTGAGACTGAAAGCTGCCTTCAGCCTCGGGCAGACACAGCGCTGTGTAGGCCAACAGGCTGTATTTGGCTCCACTGTTACAAGTACAAGACACATATGAACATTTTAGCAGTCTTCAAGTAGAGCACGCTGACTTTTCAGGAGAAATATTGCCAAGTTTAAATTTAGCAATAACAGTAAAGATAATGAAGACAATTCAACTTCTAAAATGTACACATAACCTATATTTTGTAAATTATATCCCAGTGAACAGGTGATACTTGAGATACTTTGAGCTGAGAAGTCCAAATTAATATTCTAAATGGTTTAAACTATGCTTTTCTGCTCATTTTAATAAAATTCTTATTTTTATTATGACAAAAAAATAAATCATGATTACCTAAAAGCTAAACACGGGAACAGGGTTTGTTTTCAAAACCCTAACAAGCTCTGGCCCAACAGTCCTGCTTCCACTAACCAGTCATTGTAGAGTTATTGTAAAAAATCTTGAGCCAAGAGCCTATAAAGTATTTAATGACAGCACAATACATACGACGGTATTGGGTTGTGCTGTAGGAAGGTGTCAGGGTCTGGAGTGTCCAGCAGAGAGCAGAGCTTCCTCCCAGAGCTTTTTCCAAAGGAGTTGCGGAGCTTCTTAGCCAGTTTCTTTGGCGTGTTTACCAGTGTGAGCTCCTCCTCTAGGGCGCAGCTCCACAACTCCACCTTCAGCTCAAACTGAGGAACTGCTTCTTTACTAAGGGTGGGGATTTTAATAAAAACATAACCATTAAAACATATTAACAAACCAGGGCTGAAGTGACACAATATACATTATACATATACTAGATCAAAATTTCATTAAATACTTTTAAAATTTCCCTTATATATAAATCTATAAAATAGACATACATCCACCTAAAGGGTGGAGTGCAGCAGTTCAGAGAGTACTACTTTGCATATTACATAAGCACAAAAACACTTACAAGATGGTAATTCCCTCAAAGCAGATGTCAGTGACTGATCTATCCACCACCACCATTTCAGTGTCAAACACTTCTGAGCCAATCTGCATCAGACAGAACACAGCCACCCTGCGAGAACCTAACAAATGTCATGGATGTACAGTATGCATTAGTACAGCCAGTATGTACAAAAATTACAGGAGGCAAAGCTGAACATGAGGCATGAAAGATAACAAAGAGCAAACTTACTCCCTCTGTTGTTAAAGTGGTCTGAGTCCCTCCACATCAAAGGTATGCGCAGCCCTACGTTTGCAGAAAGTTAATTAAAAAGAAAGGCTCTTAAAAATTAACTCAGGGAGCAAAATGTTGCAACTAAATGTAATCGTTGCATAGTTTTAGATGTACGGTGCTGATTTATTCTGAATAAAAGATGAGCAATCTTACCTGACAAAGCAATTGTTCCATTACAGGGCAAACGGTCACCTGAAATTAGATCTGAAGGTCTGGAATAAAATTTGGAATTTACCATTACAATAGATCAAAATGTGTGTAATGTATTTAATTTAACAAAACAAATAAACTGTATGTACATTTACAAAAAAGGATGGAATCGCTGCATGATTAAGATTTTGGACACATCTAACAAGACTTCCTGGATTTTGTTATTTTAAAAATACATTTTAAAAACCTCTGTCCAAAACCCGCTCAGTTCTTTCATTAGTGACAGGACAATTGTTTCACCCTCCCCATCAAAGTTAACATATATCAATTGGATACACACACACACACACACACACACACACACACACACACACACACACACACACACACACACACACACACACACACACACACACACACACACACACACACACAACAGTGATGTGGACTCAAACTGAGCCATAAGCATCAATCTCCCCACCTGCCGATTCCCCCCATCATGTCCTCTTCCTCTTTTTTCTTCTGCAGCTGAGAGAGATATGCCTTTATCCGGGCATTGCAGGTAAACATGTTCTTGGAAGCATTTAGTACCTGTTCTCTCTTACTGCAAGCGAGCAGCAGCTTGTAGGCTCCCTCTCGCATTCGCATCTCAAAGTCAAGTTTCTCCTGTATGTTAGTTGTCTTTGTGGACAAACAGACAAGAATGAACAAGTGTCAAAAAAAGAACAGACTGCCAACTTTTCTATGACGTTTTCTATTGTGTTAGTGCATCAGACAACAAAAGCTTGGACATGAGCGGCATCACAGCAAAGGTTTTCATTAGTTATGCAAACTTTTTTCATAGGAAATTGCTTTTTAGATTACCAGAATTTTCTTTCAGTCTTTTAGTCCACTTCACATTGTGTAGCTTATAAAGCACTCATTGGTTTACCCCCTCTGACTTCCTCAGAGTTTATAGCCCAATTAGACCTTTCAGGTCATCAGGTGCAGATCTTTTAACTGTTCCCAGAATTGGACAGAAGCGTGCTGAGGGTGCTTTCAGTTACTGTGGTGATGTTTTTGGAACAAGCAGCCTGCTGACCTGAGGACAATTGGAACTTGGTCTACATTCAAAAACAAACTTAAAACCTTTATTCTCATAGGCTTAAACTTAACAGCTCTTTGTGCGCGCACAGCTGTTTGTGTATATGATAACTTGTATTTTGTTTCGTTGAAAAGTTTTATTTTATTGTTTTTATCGCCTTCAGACACAGCAGACCTACATTTTTTTCCATGTTTTTACCTTATATGGTATTTTTAAAGAAAAGCAGTTGTTAAACAAAATCCAAGGTCACTCTGGCACCAACAGAACTAACATTTTCTGGGTTTAATACAAAAGACAGATCTTAAACAGCATGGCGGTTGGGAAATCTTCTTGCCCAAGGGTGTCCAAACACATCTGATCACAAGTGGGCCATACCAGTCAATATTTCATGGTATTTTCTAGTTATTTTTTATTTTTAATTACTGAATTTTTTGTTATTCTTTAATGCTACGTCCAGATGAACAGACTCAACCTTTTGGGTGTTATTCTTTTAGTTTACTTTCAGTTTTATTTTTTCAGTTTAGTGTTTATTGTTTATTTAGTTTTAGTCTTTTTATTTATTGTTTTAATGAGAGCATATGTCAGATGAAAGATTTAGGAAAAATCTGCTCATGTATTGCAATAAAAACTGATTCGGACCTCAAATAATAAACTTTTCATACATTTACATTCCTTTGTAGGAATGCTGGAATCTCAATATTAAGCATTTTTTGTGAAAAACTGATTTCCCTACAAGTTTTGGACCCTTTGGTGGACTTGCAATCATTTGACACATTAGCCCCACTAGTTAAGATGATACACTGGTGATGTTTCAAATTACTTGATAAGCTTGAAATCACAAACTCAAGACCAACCTTTCGGTGACGTAATGATGCATGCATGAAGGGGTTAGATGGTAATGCCAGCTGAATGAGATTAATAAGTTGTCTCGGGTAGCAGTTGTAATGGCAAAGATGGAGTTTGGAAATGTACGATTGGCATTTCGAAAAGCACAAAACAAGTGAAAACTGGCAGGCATGCAGCAGACATATTCTAACTAAATGAAGTTTGATGATGTCTGTTATAATCACATCTAATATAACACAAACATCATCATTCTCCATATCACAATCAACAATATGCACCTGTAGCTTCTTAGAAATCTGTCGTATGTACAACAAATTCATATCCTCTACTATCTGGAGAGTGTCTTTCAGAAGACTAGGGCACGGCTGCATGCTCTTTGCCTGCAGGGAGATTAGTTGGAGCAGTATTAGAAGGAAGCAAACATACAATGATGATGCAGCGTACACGGATATGGTTTCAGGGAAGTGAATATTGACAAAAGGGGCACTGCCCCGAACTAGCTTTGCCCTGGAGGGTTGAAATCCAGCTTGAGAAGGGCGTTAGCAAGTCAAGTCGCAGCACATGAAACTATGTTATTAAAGCCATGTGAATTAAAAAGATCAGCATTCCCGTGTTTGACGTGCACTTTACACCCACTCGGACCACTCCATTGGGTAAATCATACGAAACAATCACTGTCGTACCGCCCATACCTCTGTTTGTAGGAATAAAGTACTCTGTCGTATTTTCTTTCGTTTAATCTCCATATCCACCGCGGAGCCGGCCAAAAACAATGACCTGGAGCCCCCATTTTTCTTGGAAGTTTGAACGTCCCGCGGATCGTCCATGTTGCATGTCCATTCGCTAACAACAGCTGCGTATTACTGCTCCTGCTTCAAACGGCCGGGGGCGGCTCGATTTATGTTATCGTACCCCCCGTAAACGAAATCTCCCGTCGTGTTAACATAAAGTACACCCATTAAAAAGCTTAAAAGTGTGTTGTTCTCTCAGCACATTTAATATCATATCAAATAAATAAGAATTAGAGTATAAAATGTAACCAATACATAAAGCTACGACTTAATAAAATGTTGTAGTCACCATCAAACCTTAAAATTAAAACAAAATTAAACTCTAACTTGCAAATGTCCTATGCAATCGAAATCATTAAATAACAACCATTAAATAAAGAAAAAAGAATATTTTAACAATAATACATAAAAGGGTACAGTTCAAAAATAAACATGAAAAAACGTTCCGCTTTTCCCGGCGGCACTGCCATACATAAAAACGAGTGCCTTTACGCCAACAGGGAGGGGGCGTCATTGCGTCAGTGTGTCAGACAAAACAGGGCTGAACCGTTTTCGAGTTTGAATTTTTAGACGGTATAAAATCATAGACGGTATCAGATAACATACATTTTATTACATATATTATTATTTTATTTTATTTTAAATTCATCAGAAAATTTATTTTAAATATTATAATATAATACATACAAACGTGCAATTAACTAAGAGGCTGTGATGCTAATTTAAAAGTATAATTTTCACGTTTATGCAATGAGCATTTCCATTTTGAGCTCACATTTTTGAAGCAGAACAAATATGAATCTTTTATATGTTACTGCCATTTAATCGATCTCCTTAATTTATATTTTTTAAAAGCGGTGGATGTTTTTCTTGTAGTGCTACATCCCTAATTAGTTTGATAATCTCTAGTAGTTTGGTTCCCGGTTATCATGCAGCAGGTACAGCCTTCATTATCAGCATGACCTCTGCACAGTCCATGTAGTGGTACTGTAACAAAAGACCCCGGAACGTAACCAGTGCGAGTCCAGGAAACCCGCCCACCCGGTTCTGGCTGACATCGCTTCTGGTTGAGTTGGAAGCATCCACGGTTGCAGTTGTGGACGCAGGCGCTCCTGGAGATGAACTCCGTCAAGCTGGGCAGAGAAATTCCACTAAAACAGGAAATTACATCCGCTTTTAAAAATAAAACACAGGATTTTGAATTTCAGACGAGGTTCACATGCAGTGTAATCCTCTGAGTCACTCAGTACACAGTCAGCTACTTTACCATCTGGAGAGCATTGTTAGTCTGAGCGACTGTCCTACAATAATCCATATGTGTGTGTATTCATAGGCTGTAACGTTTTATTTCACACTGTAGTACTTGAATCACGAACTAGTCTGCAACTGCACCAGCAGCTGACCTATCTATAAGTGGAAAACGTGTTAACATACAGGCATGTGCCTGAAATGCATTCATTCCTAACAGGATGCAAGAGCTTGGAATTTTATTGGGAAAGTGCTATAGTGGTTTATGGCTTTAAAATGACTCGTCATGTCTTTCTTACTTATATTTTTAATAATTTAATCTATGATATCAGTCTTTATCTCTATAATGCTTTTAGTAGCATTGAATCTAGAGTACAGTAATTCCATAAATATGGTATTACTGTAAATACAAGTTTCTTTTTTTTACTTTCCCCACATAATAAATTATTCAAAATACACACAGGTTATTACATGCATATTTTGCCGAAGAATGGTTTCACATATCCCAAAATATAAAAGGATCGATAGGTACACAATGCACACAATATGGCTTTATAAGTTAGAACAACATATTGAACTTTTTAGTTGAAACTCATGAGAGAAGGACTTTGGTTGAACCTCTGGTGTAACTCAGGTGATCGTGAGATTATAGTTGTGCGCGTGGTTCTGAATATTAAGTTTATTTCAGTATCAAATACACAAATAAATAAATAAGTAATTTAAAAGCTTTCTGGGGAACTTAAACTGCACACCTTGCAGTCGGAGGGCAACTTTCTACTCATTTTTTCATATGTGTTGTCGCAAGCTGCTTTGAGAGCTCAATGAGAAAGACCTGTCAAGCACAGATAATACCATTGTTGAATTCAATGTGAAGTTGTAACACAGCACCATGGGCCATCTCTATGTTTTACACTTGCAGGTTAAGGTGCCAACCATCTTGTCCATAGTATCTATACCTCCTTTGGTCTAGTTATAAAATGTGATTAATTAGTGTTTTTTCCCTTTTCTGGTATTTTCATCCCCCATTTTGTTGTGATACATCGTGCTCAGGAGTACAACAGCCATTTCTTTCTGCTGACATAGCTGACTATGGTAAAGCTGCCACTGAATGCAAACTGTGTGCTGTAAGCCTCCCTGGACTCAGAAGCCTTCATCAGATAAAGGATGTATGTAGAGTCCCCACAAAAGTGTCTCCAGGAGGCATGGTGAAAGAGTACACTGGAGGAAAAAAATTATCTGTGCCAGTGTTGCTTCTTGTCTTTCTGAATCTACTACACAACTGCTGGACAATGGTTTCACCCAGATTCTTATCAACTTCTATCCTTTCTTTCCATTTTCGTTTCCCTATGTTAACCATTTCAGATTGCATAGGGGATGCGTATCACAAACCTAGAAGATCTTTAGGCCATACTTGACAGGCTTGTTTGGCAGTGACACAATCACTCGGGGTGAACTGCTGTCTGAATGTTGAATGAATGCTGTCTTTTAATCCTAATTTCTCTAATAAGAAGGATGTTTCATGAACTTTATCATTTACCATTTTTTATTACCATACATTCTGTACATTCTTTTCAACCTATTCTTTTTGCAAACTAAAAACATCACAATCACATCACATCACAAAAAACAAAACTGAAAAATTGCTATCTACTATGGAAGCCCGTTTCCACCACTAAAAAACCCAACATTATTTGCCATCCATATATCAAAATGGCAGGTTTTTATCTGAAAAAAGTCAGAGAAAATAACTCCAAAATGACATAAATCGAGAAAATAACGTAAAATTTCCAGTTAATTTTGAGGGGGGAAAACACCCTGAAATGATGACTAAGAATAGCAATAAAAAATTTTAAAAACTACCTCAACTTCCTTTTAGCGGAAGCAGATTTCTATACCGTGACAGCGTATGAATACAACTTAAAACACCACTTAAATAATGATCGACGCCTCAACTCGCAAATCTGAGTATCCTGTTGTCTCTTTGACATTTATTTTGAAACGTCTGACCGGAGGCAGCGATTGGCCTATTTGCCACTTCGACGCCTCTTTCAGGATGCTGGTCCGCTCGCCGCTGTTTTGCAGGGAGTCAGTAGCTTATTGCTGAGCAACGGAGGAAGAGAAGGCCACCGCATAGAGCCAGACTGAACTGCAGCAACGACACGACAGGGCTGGGCTCCACACGCAGTCACAGAGCAAAAAACATCTTTAAGGAAAGGGTAAGTGTGGAGTGTACTTGATTTTTTTTCTTAGCGAACAGTATACAGTGGACAGTCCGTAGTATGGTTTTAGCTAGGTGGTTGACCGTTACTCACGTGAAGTTTGCGGCAGACAAAAAATATAAAGAGTCGCTTTTTCTTTCCTTCTGCAGTCCACTGATGTCAGTTTCCTCTTTCAGTGAGCTCATAGAAAATTCTCCCAAATTTTCAAACCATTAAACCTGCATTAAATCTGAGTAAAATTTAGGAAACAAAAAACACTCCGGCTCTTGTAACGACTAAGCAGACTGGTCTGACTCCCTCTTGGCTAACGGGATGGCTACTATTGTCAGCAGCGGCATGACAAGCCCACCCTGCTCCACCTTTGTAAGCCGCACAGACTATAGCCACTTTGCTGCCCTTGTAAAAACACCGGCCACATACTGCTTCACTCCAGATCAATACTATTGTTTACTACTGACCTGATTTTATCCAGTAGTTGCATCCTTTTGTAGCCAGACAGAGGCTAATCGAGACAAGATGCACATCAATGAAGATCGGTCACACTGAACGCTTTGTTTATCTTAGTGGAAACATGCTACCCCTCGGGTCTTCTTTTAGTCTGTATTGTCTAAGAGGTAGATTTTATGGGCAGGTTTTGCTCTAAGTAAGACAACTGCCGAGTGTTTTCCGATAACGGACCCCCCTCCTCTTCTTCTGTGTGGAGGCTTTGTTTTCGTGGGGCAGATGTAGCTGGCCTGCATGCATCCGCTCTCTTTGTGTTGAGTTTGATTTTTTTTTGCTGTCATCATCACATTAGCTGTAAAACTTTTGAAAATAGAAGCAAATGCTTTAGTTTAAATGCCATATGGTAATTTGATAACTCTTGACAGGCTGTTCATAAGCAAATGGTACTTGACGCTAGAAATCAATGCAAAAATATTGTAATTATTGTTTAATTACTGTTACCAATTTAGCACAAATGCCAGAGGCAGATGCATATCAATCAAAGCCTCACAACTGTTCAAAACATTTAAAATTAATATTTATATTCACAGCATTAGAAGCTGTTTTATTTTATGTAATCAGCTATATTATGCCCTTTAATTTCATCCAGTAGACTCAAAGGTGCTGGTGAAAGTCACTTGCAGCTCTGGTCTGAGTTTATAACCCGATTAGATGTTCTTTGACAGCTACGTGTTTCACATCAGTGTATCTTGCTAGTCTCCTCCCTCAGCTGTAAGAATTCAAATTTCTTGGGTTCGAGCCAAAAGAATGTGCAGATAATACCATCCAATCCAGTTTTGCTCCTTTTCCCTTTTCTCCCCTTTTTCCGCCTTCTTCCTGTGTTCTCCCCACAAATGTGGCTGCCAGCAGGGTTGTTGGCTCCACTGGCGGTTGCATTTTTAAAAACTGTGTCAGTGTCACAGGACGGTTGCTGCACTTTCGGAGAGGAAGCAGCAAACTGACTGAAGCTAAACTACAGCCGAGCCTGACTACAGACTTATCTATTACACTTAAAACATAGCTTTTTTGAGTTTTATTTTTCTTTAGAAAGAAAATCTAGAAGCTTCTTGCAGTAATTCGACTATCAGTGCTGTTTGATCAACTCACATTT